ACCTGGCCTTGGACACTTCCAGGGATCCAGGGGCAGCCACAGCTTCTCTGGGCAACCTGTGCCAGGGCCTCCCCACCCTCACAGGGAAGGATTTCCTCCCCATATCCCATCCGATCCTGCCCTCTGGCAGTGAGAAGCCATTCCTCCTTGTCCTATCTCTCCATCCCTTGTCCCAAGTCCCTCTCCAGCAAGGAGCTACAGGTGAAGCATGGAACTCTGAGCTGGGAGAAATTAAATCCAATGGGACAGTTTAGTGATGAGATCCAGCCAGGCAGTTTCTCTTGGATCTGCTTCTAAACCACTGCTGAACCTTCCTTGGAGGCAGCGATGGAATGTGCCAGGATGGTGCTGTGAGCCCTTGGTGCAGGAGCAGGGGAGAGGAAATCCAGGTGGATTTACTGTGTGCCTGGGAGCACAGGGTGGAAATTATCTCTGTTTCAGGACAGGGATTAACTGCTGCCTGTTGGGAGCTCACTGCATTGGCAGGGTGGGATTTGGGATCTGCAGTGGGAGGCAGCAGGGACAAACACTTGCTAATCTGGGGAGCCTGAGCCAGGAAATAATATCCTTCTGGGATATGCTGGGCTGTGCTCTTAAACCATCCACATCACAGTCCTAAAACTGTGTCGGGGACTGTTGTGGCTCCAGAGATGAAATTACAGCAAAGCCTTTTTTAGGTAGATGGAAGATTGCATTTTCCTGGTGGGACAGCCCAGCTCAGGGGGGGCAGGGATCTGAGGATGCTTGAAGCTGCTTAAGCCCAGCTGGAGGCCAGGAAATGGACAGGATGAGCCTTCCAGCACCACATTCTCTGCTCCAGCACCCACAAAATCTCTCTAGAATGTTCCCTTAACCATTTTGAGGCAGGGGGGCTTCACTGGTGGCTTCACTGCTCACTCTCCATGTCCCAGGCTCCTGCCCCATGCTGAACAGGTTGTTGGCTCAGTCACCAAATTTCTAGAAGATGAAATCACAGGAGCTTGAAGATATTTTTAAAGTCATATAATCAGAGAATCATGGAATTGTTAAGGTTGGAAAAGCCCTCTACGACCATCGAGGCCAAATGTTCTCCCAGCACTGCCAAGGCCACCACTGACCCACGTCCCCAGGTGCCACATCCACATGGCTTTGAAATCCTTTCAGGGATGGGGACTCCACCTCTGCCCTGGGCAGCTGTGCCAGGGCTGGACAGCCCTTTCAGTGAACAAATTTTCCCAATATCCAACCTGACCCTCCCCTGGCACAACTTGAGGCTGTTCCCTCTCCTCCTGTCCCTTGTCCCCTGGGAGCAGAGCCCAATCCCCCACCTGGCCTCACTCCCTCCCCTCAGCTGGGGCTGTGGGACCCCCTCCAGCTGAAACCAGAATTAACAGATGGGTTGGTGTGAGCGATGCCAGAGTGTGCCCAGATGAGGCTTCTGGTTCCCAGTGACATGATGACTTCGTGCAAGGATTCCCACTGACAGTGCACTTCCTTGGATTGCTCCCATCCTGGCTTCCCAGACCATCAGGGAATGGGGTTCTTCAGGAGCAGCTCACCCAAATCATAGAATCGTGGAATGCTTTGGGTTGGAAGGGACCTTAAAGATTGTCTCATTCCAATGCCCTGCCATGGGCAGGGACAATAACCATGGATCTCCCAAGAGAGGCCAAGGCACCTCCTGAAAAAGCCTTTGGGCAATCAGACTGGGGGAAGGAATGGTCAGGACATCTTTGGATCTCTCCCAGTCAGAGATGCTGCCTGTGCTCTCCATTCCCTCTCTGGAATGCAGCAGATGACGGGACTCTGGGTTGCTGCCTCAAAACCCAAAGCTCTATCCCAGTAAGGAAAAACAGCTGTTGGTGACACTCCAAATATCCTGACTCACAGCAAGTTGCTGTCCTGCCTCAGCAGCACAGTTTGTTCTGGAATAAAACAACACTCCCTGAGCAGGTGGTGGTCTCAGAGTCCCTGTTAGAGCCCTGGAACAAATGAGATGTGAAAACTGGGCTGATTGTATTTATAGCAAGATTCTCCATCGCTGGTGTATCTCAACCCCCTGCACTCCCAGCAGCACAGACTTCACACTCCAACCCCTCAGAAGAGCTTATTTCCAGTGCTCTGGCATGGATCTACAAGAGCTGCTGCTGTTTTTCCCTGGATTTCCTGCCAAGAGGTCACACCAGCTCGTTGTACTCGGAGCAGCTGCGTTACTCTTCCTTCGTTTCCACAACCCCGGGGCACCATCCCTGCTGGAGAGCTGAGCCCCCGGAGCCTGCGGATGCTGAAGTTTGTGCTGGTCGTGTCCCTGCCCCAGGAGCTGCTGTTGGGCTGTGTCAGGGGATGGCAGGATTCGACCCTGGAGAAAACCAACCATGTCCTAGGCTGATCCCACAGTGGATCCCACAGCAGGGCAGGGGGATTCTGCCCCTCTGCCCCCTCGGGTGAGACCCCCCTGCAGAGCTGCCTCCAGGCCTGGGGAACAGCACAGGGAGGACGTGGAGCTGCTGGAGAGAGTCCAGAGGAGGCCATGGAGATTAGAGGGATGGAGCACCTCTCCTATGTGGAAATGCTGGGAGAATTGGGATTGTTCAGCCTGGAAAAGAGAAGGCTTCAGGGTGACTTTGTGGCCTTCCAGTACCTGAGAAGGAGCCTCCAAGAGAGATGGACAGAGACTATTGACAAGGGCTTCGAGAGACAGGACAAATAGGAAC